ACAACATTCTTGAGCGACTAACGGTGAACAATGGATTTAGTATGTTCTGCAGTTAGTCATTAAAGTGTTATCTAATTTCTGTTTTTGATCAATTCCAAAATATTTATATACTATAACCAACCAACTTACTGTTGTACTGAAAGATGTTGAGAAGAGACACAAAATAAAGCACTGATGATTGCTAAGCATCTGTATGAGTGCATAGGTTGGTAAATCAAATCAAGGACATAACACATTCTTACCTATTCTAAGCTTGAATTCATTAAATGAGTGTTTGTTTAGTTGCTCTAGTTTGGTTTGCATTGACATGGCAAATTCAGTGAGGACACCAACATAGTACAGGGCTTGGCGCTGGCATGCCTGGTCCTGTTAGTAATAAAAGAAAGCATAAACGTTTTAACTGTTACATTGATTGATTGACCAAAATAGTTTTTTTTACTCTACTTTTATTCGCTTTCCTCGGGTGTGGGATAACTTACCCGTTGATGTACAAAATGAGGGTGTTTTCAGCTTAAATCAATTCTCAACTAAACTTAAGAATCATCTTTACAACCTGAACCAATTTGATCATACTGTGATTTCAATATTATTATGGTTATTATTGTTAGTAAATTAATTATTATTATTATTATGTTACTAAAACCTACCTTAAGGGGAACTTTAGAAGGAGAAATTAGAGAACAATTAAAAAAACAATGTTAAGGGGAGAATAACATATCATTTAGGGGAAAATAACACATAAGTTATTTCATGATGTTTGTGTTTGTGTGTGTTTAATGCTTTGCTTGAGGGTCATTTGAATTTTTAAGGTCCTGCGTGTTTCTTCTGTACAAAAACCGCTACACTGGTTTAAATGCCAGTTACAGGGATTGTCAGGTATAACCCAAGGATGAGGTGATTAATTTTTGGTGACCAACCGGCATAGGGTGTGCATATGAGGACCACCTAAAGGAAAACGTCCCAGACCAGATATTTCAAAAAATAATCAATAATATGTTTGAAACTTTCGTGAAATGTTTAACCAAGTTACAAGGAAGAAATTGTGAAGTGTTGGTGACGATCCAAATACAGGGCTGCATGTGAGGGCCATTAGGACCCAGACCTAAATATCTTTTGATTGGTTCAATGGTTGGAAATGATGCTTTCCAGAATAGTTTGTAATGTTTAATAAAGAAGTGTTTCAATTTTGGTCACAATCCGACGTAGGGTGTGGATATGAGGACCATTTAAAGAAAAGTTTACCGTATTACCTGTAGGCTGAAACAACAGCTATATGATGAATATTTAAATTAGTGCAATTAAAGTAAATGTGTACAGCATTTTATATGTACTAATTTCACTTTTTTTTTAACTTATTGGGAATATTTTTAATGCATCTTTACATCTTAACATGTGACGCTAAAAAACCAAATCCCCATACATACATTGCATGCATTTGTTTGTCAGCCATTTAGGTGTAAAACGTACCAGTATGTTAAGTCAGAACATGTTAGGAATTGGCAGGTGTACAACAAAGCAAAACGTTGCAGATCAGATATCTCAAAAACTAATCAAGTCATATAAATGAAACTTTTGTGTTAGTGTAATTTTTTTAAAGTAGATTATGGTTTGTGGTTGGAAAGTAGGAACGTATTTGTAAGGAATTATTTTATAGAAAGAGATTGGCGAGTTATTGTGCATTTTTAAAGAGGACTGGGGCGAAGTGAGGTGGGGTGTTAGTGGTGGTGGTTGAAGTAAACTAGGAACATATTTTGGGAGGTATATTTTATAGAAAGGGTTTTGCGGTGGGCAGAGATATGCTCTCTACTGAGTGCTCTTGTTATCATTATTATTATTGTTATAAATATTACTATGTAATTGGTTGCTTTTTTGTTGACACATGTTTGTTAGGATTTCCCATAAAATTGATTTTCTTTTGCTACTTGATTCCCCCGGGCATGTGGTCATTTCCTCAGTTCATGTTTTCTCTATGTTGTGCTTCTCTACTTTTCCAGAATAAATGAATTGATTGATTGGTTCATTGATTGGTTGACAAATGCATATATCACTCACCTTGTAGGCATCGCTGAATGATGCATCATTGTTCTCGTTGTCCTGGTGCAGGCCTGCTGCTGCCATGTATGTACTTCCTATTGTTTTGATCTTTTCAACACAGCTATACTT